ACAGACACCACCGACAGGAGATCATTGTGTTTTATGATGTGATTTCCCTACATACACACTATGATCCATGATCTGAGGGAGGGTAATTCTCAATTACTTCTGCAAAGCAAATGAACTAAACAAAGTGCTGACCTGGCAGCACAGAAGTCGTGAGACTCTCAATTTAGGCGTCAAAATCTCTTCAAATTTCGACCTAACTATTTACAAGCAGGTGAATAGTACACCTCCGGGGTTGGGCGATCGTCAGTCAAACAGAAGAAACAAGATTACAAAGTTCATAATTGTAGTGTAATGGAAGCTATTAGTTCATGAACCTAATTGTGTGTTAGTATTCGAAGTAGATGCCAGACGTAGCTTCTAGACTTCTCATTAAAGATAAATGGACAAGCCAAGGTATTCTTAAATTATAGATCTTATAGAAGCGATGAAAATCATATGATCACAGGACTTCCGCAAACGTCACCCAGGCAGACGAAGACTAAATTACGTTAAAATATTAACAACACGCTGAGGTGCACTGCAGTGTGCTGTAAAGTAAGTTTACTGAAATGTTATTGCTTAAATGACTACCCTGACGAAGTCCTAAGATGGTGCGCACAAACTTACCAACAAAGGACTGACTACAGGGAACGTTTATTATGCGTCAAGATCCCCGTAGCAAACACCGCATGATACCGAGACTGGTGACTGTGCGCAGAATGAGAAAGGTCATACAACACCAAGTCACCGGGCCCAAAGGTTTGCAACCTTCGCATGAAACGCCATGAGATGTTTATCGTGGTAAAAGTCGTTGGATATAGAAAGCAAGTACACCAGACAAATAGAAGATATTACTCAAATAGTGGTAGAATACACCTTAACTTTGAAAAGGAAAGATGTAAATTTACAGGTAATGGTTTAGTCTGAAAGACTAGCCACCCCATCACGTCCAATTTGCCAAGATCTTGGTGACGGACAGAGACTGGTTGGAACATGAGAGGCGTGAATTATTGTTCTTCAGCCCACAGGTCGACAAACTGATGGCCATTTGTCAAGTTCTATGAATTCATATAGGAAAGCCGTCAATGCGAATAAAAATCCGCTAAGTGACAGCCTTAACGGATGTGGTTTAGATGCGACTACTATGAAAGTTCGAAGACGCCCTCATCTAGTAGGTCGACGAGTGACTTCGCGGAAACCGCGTCCTATTAGTACCAGGTACTCGTCTGCGTGTTGTTGTGCCTAGCGATGAGGTAGAGAACGTTGTAAAAGAACCGAACAAATGCGGTGATCCAACAGTCGAAACTTTATCCTCCATTCTGGTCTTTCTTACGCGTGTCTGCGCGGCAGCATGGGCAAGAGTATAAAATTCCTGAAAAAACGTCATACCACTGTCCTGACACAGAGCCTTCAATTTGCAAAGTTGAGCTGAATGTCCTACACGTCTATGAAAATGAGGTTATTTTGAATTTAAAACAGTACTTGCGTGCTGAAACTGGTCTTTCCTTAAATGTTTGGTACGGCGCTTTTGTGTGGGCAGGACGATATCTGGGGTTTGGCAGGATTCGGCCGGGTATTTTCACTACACTTCGTTCCAATTTGCTCTCTTTTGGAGGACCAGTCGATTTTTGTGAATGCGTAGGTGGTTTGGGCAGATTGTCGACCCGTTTTGACAATGAGGACATGGTCTTCGTCACTTTTTTCCCTGACGATTCCATAGCTAATTTGGCCATTGACAGCACCTTTTCCACTTCCGATGCTAACCTTTCACGCTCATCCATTTCGGGATCATCCTCAGGATCTGGTTCTTTAGAGTCAGGTATTAAACTAACGAAGACAAAGTCATCAATCGAAAAGGTAAACTTCAATACTTACGATGCCTTCAGACCATGTTCAATCTTCGAAAGCCACTGACTTAAATAATTTTCTTCTTTTACTAGGTCCTGGAGGTGGCTTTCCACAAAGGTGGAGTCGTCTGGGCTGCCGTCCATACGAAAAAGAGCGGTCAATCTGACCTTAAAAAGTAAACAGATGTAAGGAATTTAAACATCCAATCAAATTCCGTACAGCCGTTGAGGAATGTAGATTTTGGGTAATTCCATGACCATCTAATGGGACTACTTCTTCGTTTAACGATTTTCTGAATAGCATTCATCAACTGAATTCTTTTTAGACCCGCCGTAGATAAGCGTAGCTTAAGATGTCTAAGAACGAATGAAGCTGACCTTCACGTGTTGCTCAGCGACGCTTTTGTAAGTCAAATATCTAGTCAGCGAGTATCCGAAACCTTTGTCCTAAGAAGCAACACAAGTTATAGACTCGAAATCAGCAAGACCAGCTCGTTAGAGCAACGATTATTAGGTGTACATAAACGACAATGGCCGACAAAATTCTATGATGTCAACGAAGACAGTCGGCAAAAATGACGCTCAAAGAACTGCAGAGCCTCAGAGACTGTGTTTATTTGGCTGACGGATACGACTCGCTAGCAAATGGGAGGGCAAGATATACCGGTTCAACTTGGGAATTAGCGTGTGAATGCATTGGTTCTGGGTCATAATCTGTTCCTTCTAAATATGAACGGCCACCTGGGTTGCCTGAATTGTGGGAGGGTAACGTTTGCCGAAGATCTCAAGCTATGGAAAGCATTCGGAAAGCCCGCATATGCGATACAGTTGACAAAGGGCATCGGTTGTCTGAAACATTGGCGTGACGAGTGCTTCCTTCACCTTAATCTGAACGCATACAATTTTATTCAATTACGACCTGGCAACATTCGTCCGACCGATGTTGAAATATTAAGCTCAGTCACACCGTCGCCGGATGAAGCAATGCGTAGGTCTATGTTCATTACCAACTTTTCTCTTAGCATATTCATGGGCACCTGAAGTTTTCGGAACTGTTGCTTGAGTGTGCAAAAATACGTACAACAACCGGCGTCGGCTTACGATAACTCGTGTTTTGCCCGACTTTATTGCTCCACTGACTAAGTTCATGCGCTTCACTCTGTTCTAGTCAATTACGCCAGTCGGTTTTTATTCCTCGATCGCATCTCGTCGGACGTAAATTTATCTGAACGGCAAGCTCTTTTAACCAATTTTATCTCGAGACTTTCTGGATTTTATTCAGAGCATTCATCACGCCACAACAACCTGATAGTAGAGAGGACTTCATTTTTTGTGAGTTTGTGCAACTATTTACCTTTGTCAATATTTTTTTTCGGTTTCGCCTTTTTTGTAAGAGACGCTACGACGCCCAGTAAGAGTTACGTTTTTATGTATCTATGGTTCCTTTGTAGGTTAAGCTGTTGGTCACACTCCAAATCTCGCGCCATTTAGGAGATAATTCAATAAAGACCAACAATACTGTTCGGTGGATAAATATACATATCTCACGAGATACGGTTAGATAGGCTTAATATATTTCCCATTTTGTGCACACTACAGAGGGAAGATGATCGTGATCCTCGAAATGTCTGAGGGACTGACTGTGCTCTTCAGAAGAGAGTGCCGTGGAAGGAGCTGTTTCAGCCCGGCTCTCAGCGCGTAATCCGCCACTCCACAAAAACAGACAAGACTGGACGGACTGCGTGGACTGAGCTGGGGCTCCAGTTAACAGCCTTCCAATCCGCAGCGCTTGGCGCGATGGGATAGTCTCAGGCTCGAGTCACCCATGCAACAGGAGCCGCACGGAGACCGAGTCGAGACACACATTTTTCACTTGTGCAGGGGGTGAAAACTGGATGCTTTTGATGAGTGATGCTGGTGTGCGGGGAGATGGTGGTGAGGGAGGCTCTGATGATGTGGTGCAGCCGAGGGTTGCCTACCGCAGGTTTTCGTGGATGCACATGTAACCGAATAGGTCCATGCGGTACATGAAAGTGCGAGGGCAGTGTGGACAGTTGAGACAGGTGCGACGGGTGTAGGTTGGTGCTCCAGGCATGGGTTCGCCAGTCCCTGTGCGATGGATTCGCAAGTGACCGATTAGGCCGATGTGTGGGGTGAAGGGGCGGTTGTAGTGAGGACAGGTGTAGTCCTGGTCCTCAATTCTGATGTCGTCGGTAATGATTTTGATGTTTGTTGGTGTGTCAGGATTGTTAGAAGTGTTGATGCGCATGCCAGACGTCACAACGGCAGACGTTGAGGCAGTGAAGGAGGAGGAGGAGGAGGAGGAGCAGGAGGAGCAGGATGAGCAGGAGGAGCAGCAGGAACAGGAGTAGGAGGAAGAGGAGGATGAGTGGTCGGAGGATGGAAGTGGTCGTCCGGTAGGGTGGACAGAGTTAGTCGACAACGTAGGAGGTGAGGGAAATGTGGACGGAGAGACGACGGCTGGTGCAGTCGGAGTTGCGCAGGTGATCCGAATGTGTTCATCAAGTCCATTTGGCGCCCTGAATGTCCGCTGACACCGTGGACACGTTGGAGGAGGTTGTGCGTTGCCATTGCGAGGTTGGCGCAGCTGAGATTTGCAGGTTCCTCGTTTGGCTTTCGCGGCGGCAATGCGACTGGCTTCGTACCTCGCAGCGCCTGTCTTCATTGTTCGCCTCCACGTAGGTCGGTCTCGGGTGAGGTCTTCCCAGTTGGCCGGGTTGATTTGCAGGAGCCTCATGGGGGTCTTCAGAGTATCCTTGTATCGACGAATTTGGCCCCCTTGGCGGTGGAAACTTGTGGCGACGTCTCCATAGAAGAGTTGTTAGGGTGGCCGCTCGTCGTCCATCCGCACGAGATGGCCGCTCCAACGCAATTGCAGTTGACTCAACATGGCGCAGATGCTAGGGATTCCCGTCTGTCCCGTAAGTCATTCTCTGGGCTTCGGTCCTGCTACCCCGGCTTCAGTATTCAACGAAGACAGATGAGATTGAAGTGGTTGAGTCGGCGTGCCTGCTTCATGTAAACCGTCCAAGTCTCGGCTTCATACAGCAGCGTCAGGAGGATGACGGCCTTGTGCATCTTCAGTTTTGTGCTGAGGTGAAGGCCGTGGCGATTCCAAGCTGTGTTTTAAAGACGAGCGAAGGCTTGACTGGCCTTGGACATCCAGCGGGCCACTTCGTCGTCGACTATAGTGCTGTGGGAGAGGGTACTGCCCAAAACGTGAACTTGTACATTACTTGTATTTGGGTTCTGTTCACGTTGTTTTCCAGCGCATGGGGAGGGGGCTGTGTTGGGCGGCAGTTGGCGCATGACTGCCGTCTTCTCCGTGTTAATGAGCAAACCGAAGTTTTCGCAGGTGGCGGGGAAGAGATCCATGATCCTATGCATGTCCTCTTTCGAGATGGTGTTGAGGGCGCAGTCGTCGTCGAAGAGAGGTTCGTGGACGATGAGTGTGGATACACACGACTGGAAGTGCATCCGTCCGTGGTTGAGGAGGTAGCCGTCCGTTAGGTAGGCGATGCGGATCCCGGGGCGTTCGTCACGGTTGGCGTCCATCAGCGTGGCAGAGAACATAAGACTGAAGAATCAGTTCTTTGGCAAGAAAGTTGAGTCACTGAAAAGAAGACTTGACAGATTTGTACTTAATGACCATAAGTTCGCTCGACACCAATGACTAGCAAACGTGCCTCAAATGTTGTGCAAATATGTGACTATTGTAACTCATGTATCTGAAATTAGGCCTTAAACTTGGCTCACACATCGCTGATCATAAAGGCAGGGGCCGCAGCCCCTCGAAGCCGTAACTATCTACCGACCCCCTACGGACGGACCCCGACGCAGATACGTGCCTGCTGAAAAGCATAAAAGAGACCGGCAGTCGACCAGACGTCGTAATCATGGAGGATTTTAATGCACCGTTCATTCAATTGAACGATATTCATGTGAACTGCCCGGAGTATACCTTCGATCACCGTCTCTTAAAGACAAAACAAGAAGCTCTTCTCACGCAGCACGTTCTATTTCCAAATAGATCACGTGGATGGGAAGAGGCTTAGTGCTTGAATCTCATCCTCACCGAGGATCCTGACAGTAAAGACGAGATGTCTTGTCTACCCCCCGCTTCGTCGAAATGATCATGCAGTGCTTATATGGGATTACGAACTATATTCCGCACCGTA